TCAGGTTCTTGGGCAGGTTGCCTCACTCCCACCTGCATGAGAAAGAAGTGTGTCCCCAGGCATTCCCTACCAAAGCAGTGATGGTAAATCACTTCTGCAGCACCCCAGCAGAAATCCTTCTAGTTCACCAGTAGACTCTTCATCTTATCCTTACTCACCCTTAAGCACAGAATAACATCCTCTGGACTTAGAGCAACAAAGGGTCCAAGGAAGCCTCCAAAGAGCATCATGGTTTCAGCAGCACTTCAGATGTGAGGCTGGAGAAGGCAGCAGCACCCTTACTGTGGGGATCACATCCTCCATCTTTGCAGGGGGAAAGTCCCTTCCTCTGCTGCTGCTGTTGCCTCAGCAGTCATGTACTGGGTGCCTGCCTGTGTGTGTGCCAAGAGAATTGTTTGGTGAGTACAGATGGAAGATAGGTGTTTGATTGTCAAGGCCAAACAGCCATAGTAGCAAAAGGGTAACAGAATGTTGCTTTTTTAAGAAAAGGCAAGGCTTTTAACTCTCCCTTCCAAAAAAGCCATACAGAAAAGAATTCCTGAGTTCATTCTGAAAGGTTGATGTGGTGGTTATCTCTGCATTGCATTTGGTGGCTTTTAAAAGACAGATGAGGGCAGATGGTGTTGATCTGCTGTGAGTTCTGCATTAACACATTGAGATTGCCTCATCTCAAGGCTGTGTCTACTTTTTAGGACATGCTGGAAGGAAATCTCTTCTTACAGAGACTTGGAAAACAGAGACTTCCAGTTGGTTAGGACAAGTGCAGTCAAGGCTATGTCTCACCTGATGTCACACACAAAAAGAATTGAGGCTAGATTCCTGACATCTTTTACTTCATATCACAAGCACTGACTATGCTAGTAAGAAGTTTGAAAAGATGGAAATTTCTGACTCCTGGAAAAAAATGACAGCCCCCAAGAAAAGTGGTGATAGCCCTTTCTGTCTATGCAGTGCTGAGTGATTGCAGATATGAATCCTGCTTACAAAAGAAGCAGCAAAAATTGGGGCCAGGGAGAGTGGTTTTGAACTCAAGATGCAGAATATGAAAGTTCCAGGTGTAGAGGCAATGGTGTGCTCTCCCTTTCTGACATTGTCCCACAAGGACAAATTCTGTGTCCCTTGAAACATTCCTTTCTGCGTGTGCAGGAGTAGGGCAAGTAGTATTTGTTAGTGATGAATTTGGAAGCTCCTGGTCGTCCTCTTGTTTTTTTTTTTTTTTTTTTGCCTGACCTGTACAGCACTTCAGGGTTCACAGAGATGTCCTCATGACAGTATGGGGTCAACTGGGCAAGTCTCCATCTCTGGGAAAGCTCCCTGCTGTGTCCTGTGCTTGCTGCCATAGACCAGGCTTGCAGATCCCGGTGTGCTGCAGGAATGCCATATTCCCTGGGGATGCTCTAACATGTGGCATCTCTCTTGACACAGCAGCACCTAAACAATTTTTGTATCCACAATTCAGGAAAGGTTGTGGCATACATTTTCCCTGCAAGAAGGCAAGAGACATCTCTGGTGAACAGAGGTCTCAGCCAGCCACAGTGGTGCCCATGCTACATGTGAGCAGTGCCGGTGACATGCACCCATCACACCACTCCTCCCCAAGGCAGGAATCCAGGCAGAGGGCATCTTCCAGGCATATGCATACTGGACTCTGTGACTGGCACGAGGTTAAGGGATACATGGAACCACCACCTGCATGCTGGGGGACCTTTCACCAGGGACATTTTGCTGGCGCACTGCTGACCATTCCAGGCTTCTCATTCACTTTTGCCATATGCTTTCTGCTAGGAAGACCTCTTTGGATCCCAACACAGAGTGCTTTGAACTAAACAATATAACATTTAGAGCACAGATTCCACTGTCATGTAATAGTTCATCAGTTAGGGCCAGGCAAATTTCAGAATCTGGGCTAGTTGAAGGGAAAAAGAAGCCCTGGTAGGGTTCAGTTCCTTAACTCTGTCAGTTCTTTTATAGGAAAGTCAGAATTGCAATATCTGTACCACCAACTGTTCTATATCTGGTATGAGCAATTGAAGGGACAGCACTTGATCTCCTGTCACCCACTGGGCCCTAACAACCCATGGGAATCTCCCATCAGATTCCTTTCCAGCTCCATGCCATGTTCTCCTCCAAGAGAAGCACGTGGCCCAGAGGGACAGCTGCAGGGGGGAGACCCAGCCTCTGCTGATAGCTCCTGGGTCCTTGGGTCGCTGCTGGGCATCAAGGTGAGAACTGGCTTCAGTACGCTTCTCTGTCATATCTCCACTGTGATGTATGTAAAGTATCTTGTATGTTACAAAATGATTTTTAAAAGTGTCTTAAGGCCTGTAAACTCCGCTGTTTGGTCTGAAGATGGCATTCTGTAAAGAGCCTGCTGTACTAATATGTTCCCGTGCTTTGTTCCCTATGCTGTCAACAACAAACCATATCTGTTCTGTATGTAATAAACATGTTAACATCACCTTGAGCAGCATGTTGTCTTCCTGTGAAGGCACTGGGATTGCTGCTCAGTCTTGGGAATGCAGCTCAAGTGTTCCCTGTTGAGCATTTCAGTGGCAGGAAATGAAATGTGGATGGCTCACAGGGTCGGAGCAGAAGGGGCTGGTCTAGCAAGCAACAGTGCAATCTGTAGCTTGTATCAGCAGTAAAAATAAAAGGTGGAAATATAAGGTGGCACACTTCAGAAATAGAAGCTGGAGCAGAGAAGCTGCTGAGTTGCTGGAACTTTAGTCAGGGTGGCCCTTTCAGGTGAACTGCTAGGGATAACACATCAGGTCAGTTTTCAACACTGTACAGGTGGCACTTCACAGTCCCATAGGATTGGTGATATCAGCATAATTCGACTGCAGGGAGCCTCTCAGTCCCAGCAGCATTTGGACACCTTAATAGTTATTTTGTAGAATTGCATTGATTCAGGGTCTAGACATGGCAATGAACCATGTCCTTAAGACTGGAGAGGAGCATCTTCTGCCCCAAGCAGGGAGCCCTAAGGCAAGTCACCTCTGTGATCAACACATACACTGTGGTGTGGCACAGGCCAGGGTGCAGTACAACTGGCAATGCTTATGCAGTTAATGGAAGCACCTCAGCAATGAGATTTGGAAACGTGTGCTGTGATCCATCCTAAATCCCTGGGGCTGCACCCTTCAAAACAGCCAGGAGTACTTTGAGCAGGGCCCTGGGTGTAGTACAGCCATGTCTGGTGGCTAAGGAAGCAGGTCACTGCCAACACCCTTCAAACAATCTGTGAGGAAATGTACAAGTTTGGGAGGCTCATCAGAACTCACAGCATGTTCTGGGCATGGAATCCAACACATGGCAAACAGGCTGTGCAGCTTCCGAGAAGGGACCTTCACTATCAGGATAAGGCTCCCAGGCTGCCTAGGGTTCTGTGAGAAGACACCCATTTCCCCATTTCATGACCCTGAGCTCACCAGCAGGTCCTAACTGTTGTGGTAAGTGCCACCTAGACCCCACCTGTACAGTAGCCCTTTCCTCCTATGGCCCAGGAGCATCATTGAAGCACAGCCTGAGGTCTGCAACATGTGACTGTGTAGATCTCCAGTCACTCCTGATCGACTCCTTGGACCCAGGGGGCTGGATTTTGACTACATCATCTTTCAGAGATCCTGCCTCACCCAAGCTGCTGGGTGAGTCTGTGCCTAATCAGCTCTATCTGCTTTTGCTGCTGGCTTGGCTCCCTGGTATACTTTGATCATGGGTCATTTCTTGCCTTTCTGGGGCTGCTGTGACCAGCACTTGGGTCTGCCCACTGTGGTCATTGTGTGTGTCCCCTCAGGGAGACACTTCCTCTGCTGGTTCTACATTTAGATCACAGCCGTGCAGAGCAGAGGACTAAACTGTTCTACTCATCCCATCCGACTCACAACTACACCTCCCTTCAATCTCCCTTATTCTTGGTTTGTGTTCAGTAGTACCTCAATCATGGTGTTGCCAGGAAGGCAACATCTCACCTCAGTGCCCAGCAGTGGAGATTATAGGAATCAAACTACCTTTCAGCCACAGCAACTGCCATGGGAAGGCTCACAGCCTCAATCTGTGCCTTTAACACTACTCCTGATTCACCCTCTCCTTCTGAAGTCAGAGAACTAGATCTGGCACATGCTCTGCAGTGCTCCTGCCACAAGGCAGGCTCAATTCTGCTCCTTGTCACAGGACCAGCTTTTAACTCAAGAAAAGACTTCCTTCATATCTCATAGCATCTTAACCCTTCCGGAGCCTCTGGTGAGGGAACCCTATGGAAGGAAATACAGGTAGCCAATGTCAATCTCTGCACTCCTGCCTGAAGACAGTAATTTCCTGCTGGCTGGGGCCACATGATTCCAGCTTCATCTAGGCCACACACACTGGGTGGAGCAGAGTCCAGTTTGTGCTCTCCCTCACCAAATCCCTTCAGGCTATTTGTGATTTCAGGATGCTGCAGTAAATGGAACACCACCTCCTGACTACCTGCGGACACAGGAACTGAACAGCTACTTCTGCAGGGAATTGGTAATATATAAAGCTGAACAGTTCTTGTACTCCCTCCACCTACACCCAGACCAGACCCTCCAATAGCCTTTGACACAGCAGCAGCATCCACAGCCACTGCAAGAGAAGATGAAATACCATGAACTGTGCCCAGGAACATGCATTCAAACTGCATGTTTTAATGTTCACAACATCCTACCGTGGAACAGGGGTAATTTACAATTGGCTTCAAATGGTAAGAGCCAATCCCACCTCCTTTGCATCACCGGAACTAAAATAATTTCCCCTATCTCCTGACAGCCATCTTTGGGAGTAAGAGACGGATAGCTTTGGATTATCTTAGTATTGAAGTCATGTTCCTCACTTCTTGTTCACTGCCTTCATATGCTAGTAACCCAGATCATTCTGCAGTGTTCAGAGAACCAGATGCTGTGCCTGAGCTAATGGCTCTCCATTTCGCTGTCAAGATGTCTCAGCATTGAAAAAAATAATGGGTTTTCTTAGAACTGGGCTGCAGAATTAAGAAAACATTTATTTCCATTTGAAGATACTTTTTTTCACAGCTCTGTGAAATACTGTGATATTTACAGTAATTTTTCTGTGATTCATGCAGGACCCAAGTTATATAAAATATGTTATGCTCCAAAGAACTGCAGCTGGCTGACTGAAGCTATGTATTTAGAGACTATCCAGGGAACCAAGAAGACCCCTCTGCTTACTGAAACCAAAGTTATGGAAGAAGAGTCTGAATACATCTGCATCTTCCCTTTCAGATGAGGTGACTGTACAGGGCTGAGGAGAAAGCTGGAAACATCCTAGGACAATGGTCACAGAGAGGCTCTGTAAGACCCTTTGTACACTGAGCTTCTAACAGGCAGTGAGAGCACGTGGGATGCTTAAGACACTGAAGAAGTCTCTACACAGGTGTCCCAGTAGCTTTTTTCTTTGCCCACTCTTGGGGACAGGCCAGGACCTTCTCCAGATCAATAATTGGCTCTTCCATGATTGGTTTTCCTTCCTTCTGCCACTGTGCAAGGATCATGGCTCGGAGCAGTGGTGGGTATGGCAAGAACTGACCAGTCGCCTCAGGCACTGGGGTGAATTTCTTAAAGGCTTCCTCCTCATGTTTGGGCACTATACGCCAGTCATGGTACATGGCTTTGTCAATCTCCCTCACTTCGTCTTCAGTTTTGCCTGGGAAAAGACGATGAACACCAGTAGGTAACACCATCACATGAAACTGCCTCCAGACACAGCAAGTGTTGGCTCTTTGGCACCAAAAATGCTACAAAAGGCAAGAGTAAACAGAGTTTTCAAAGGGCTGGACAAATTATTCCCTGTGATACTATAGGATCTCACTTCTGTCCTTGAGAATCGAAACAGAAATAGAAACAGGTTCCAGCTGAGTGAGTGACTCCCCCTCTTAATTTAAAGTTTTGCTTTGTCTCTCTCAAGTTCCGTTTCCATGGTTAAGGAACAAGAGCAATTTCTCCCTACACTGATGAAAGCTTCCTGGAAAACTAAGTGTTAGAAGTAGTCAACTACTTAAAAACCTTTGAATGAGTCCTAGTTCAGTAATTCCAGTAAGGGAAAATTATATACTTAATACAAAGCAACTCTAAAAAGGAAAATTCACTCAGACAACTCCAATCATTAATTTAAAATTCCAGTAACACAACTTACTTGGCATTGCACTTTTTCCTTTTTAGCGACAATTTAAATTGGAATACCCTCATGCTCATACTGTGTCTTGCTTTGAAAGTCTCAGTCTGTCAGCTCATCTAATATGCTTTTAGTGCTGCTGTTCCCCCAGGTCATACTGCACTGGCTCTCCCACAGCATTCCCGGGAAAGACATTCATAGATTCCCAGCCTTTGAAACGCAAGGAACTTCTTTTCCCATTAGAAGATGTGAGAAAAACAAATTTCCCAGTCAGGGAGCCCGCGGTTTCTCTGCCACCCTCACGCACCCGATGCTCTCGAACTCTGCCCCCATGTGTGGCAAAACGAGCCGGTTTTACCTTTGAAGGTCAGGTAGCCCCAGGCTCTTCCATGGTCCATGTTCTACAAAGGAAAGAAAAGAGGAACCTGTTGAGGGTGGGTCGCGGCGGGGTGGAGGACGGGAGCTCCGCCGGCGCGGCGGGCGGGATGGGGCAGGTACCTGGGCCGTGTGGTCCGCCTTCACCTTGGTGATGACCCAGTAGCAGGGCTCGCGGTGCGCCCACAGCCAGGACTTGCGGGTGACGGTGCGGCCCACGCCGAAGCGCGGCAGGCGGCAGAGCAGCGCCAGCAGGCGGTTCTCGTTCCGCACGTCCTCCCAGGCCCGCACGGGCAGTCGTTTCTGCGTCAGCGGCCGCCGCATGGTCTCGTAGTCCACGGCAAAGCGCTGAGAGTCCCGCGGCCGATCCTTCAGCGCCCGGTACTCGCGGATCTTCTTGGCCATGGCGGCGATGGGCCGGTGCAGCTTCTTGCGGCCCATGGCGGCGGCCGAGGGCACGGAACCGGCAGAACCGAGCGCCGCTCCTGCGCCCACTGCTCCCGCCTCTCCCGGAAGCCGCGCCGGGCCCGCGGAAGTCGCCCCTCCCGTCGGCAGGGACAAGCGCGGGCTCCGCGCGGCCAGCCGCCCGCAGCGGGTGCTGTCAAGCTGCTGCCGCGGAGCTCGCGGCGTGCCGCGACCCCTCGCTGTGGTACGAACCCGCTGGTGCCGCCTGACGGTACTATGTGCTAGGCGGTTTTCGGGGGAGCCGGGCTTGGTTGTTGAGATACATCTGAACAGTGTCTGGTTTAGAAAAATCTGAGCAGATTCAGCTATGTCAGGGATCGTTCAAAATCTGGGTAAACCAGGTTTCAGGAAGATTAAAGCAACAGGTCTGGCCCAGCTCTTCAGTCAGAGGCTGGGCCACAAGCAGCAGCCGGGTCATGGAACTCCGTAGCAGAATTAGACAAATCCCTCTGAGCTGCTCCAGCCATGGAATGTCAGCACAGTGAGGCTACACTTTTAATTACTCATTAAAGTAATTACTGAGACTTAGACTTTAAGTAAAAACTGCATAGATCAGTCCTTGGATTTTTGCTAAAGACTGCTAAATTAAATCTGACAGAAGGCTTTTTTTATTGAAATCCATATCTTAAATTAAAGGAAGCACAGCAATTCCAGTGCTGCTGCTAAGGCATTCAGGATACTGAGTGGATTTTTCCAGCAGCCAAGATCAATGTGTGAGGAGAAAGTGGTGTGTTCATGTGTGCTGCACACTAAAAAAGTAAACCATGCATTAAAAAGGCTGACAATGCTCTTAAGACTAATATGGTGCATCTCTTGAGAAAAGACCGGGTCATAGGAGTAAGCAGGAGGTACCTGATTAAGCTGAGAAACACTGGTTTAGAATAAAATACTTGATCTCAATCCACACAGATTTGGGGGAAATAGCAGAGCAGTTAAGCCACTTATTTCAGGGTACAGAGTTGGGAGCTTGTACCCAGGAGTTGTGCAGCACAAGGATCAAGCTCCTTTCCCTTCTCCCCGTCAGTTTCTGTGAGTCCACAGAGCAGAAGAGGTGACAAGAATACTTGAAAAAATTTGGGTTTGGCTTTGTTGGATGGACAGAAATGAAAGACACCACCACACACTGCAAGTCATCAGGTAAACGATGCAGCTCCGCAACAGCCGAGCACATGCGGCGTTTCCCCCTGCGCAGGAGAACGAGCGCAAATCTTGTTCCAAACCCGCCACTTCCCGGTGTGGGTCCGCGGGGCTAACGGGCGGTACATATGCAGTCCAACGGCAGCGAGCAGCAACGGAGCCCTTCGGTTTCTGCTTCTTAAGAGGAATTCTATCAAGGGAACCGCTGTTAGAGGTGCTGCAGTGCCCTTCGGTGCCCCGGCCACAAACACAGGCCCCGCCAGCGGCGGGGGCGGCAGCCACCACCAGAGCAGCCCAGCAGAGTAACGCCGCCACCTGCACTTCCAACGATGCACACGGCGCTCCTTCCGACACTTCCGACGATGCGCTCCACATCGAGCTCCCGCGCAAAGGCCGCTTCAATCCACCGGCGGGGAAGCAGCCCCGGGAGCATCCCACAGAACGCCCGGCCGAGCTCCGCTCCCGCGCGGCCCCGCCCGCGCGCCCATGGCCGCCGCCGTCCCGGCGTCGCGGGGCGGGGAGGGGCGGCTGCCGCTGACAGCCCTCCCGCACACGTGACGGACCGCCTGCCCACGTGATGCGCCCGCCCAATGGGCACGGCCACCGCCCCCCTCCCTCCAGTTGGCGCTCCCGGCAGCCCCCGCGCGGCGCGGCCGGTCTGTGTCGGTAAGATGGCGGCCGTGAGTCTGAGGCTCGGAGATCTGGTGTGGTGAGTGGCGGCGCAGGCTGGGCGGCGGTCGCGGAGCATGGCGGGCCGGGCGCCTTTAGCGGAATCAGGCTGCGGCTGCGGAGACGCAGGTGGGGCTGTAGCCGGCCCCGGAGGCGACGCAGCGGGAGCCGAGTCGGGCTGGGCCGCGCTGGGCGCTGTCAGCCCGCGGTGACTTCGGAGAGCGGCTGCGGGCAGGGTGGGGCTTAGCAGGGCAGGGCAGCGCAGTGGTGGGGCTGCTGCCGGGTTGCGGGTATCGCCGCCGCCGTCCCTTGGGCGGTGTGGGAGGAGCGGCGAGAGGCAGCCAGGGCACCGGGCTGGGCTGTGAGCTGGGCCGGCCCTGGGGAGGCTGGCGGGGGCGGTGCGTGACGGAAGCTGTGGCAGATGGAAGGATGAGGGAAGCGGGACGGAAGGACGAGCGCTGCGGGGTTCCCTTGTAAGCACGGGCTCACCTCCCGAGGGATGCGAGAAGGGTTAGAGATAGAAAGTGTTTAGGGAGAGCTACGCACCGTTTCTTGACAGTGCTTTAATGAAGCAACACAACAGTCCAGCGTTTTATTGCAGGTTGGGGTGTCCCTGTGGAAATACTCAGAAGCCGTTTCCCCTTGTCACTGCGATCTTACCCTCAGATAGCCAGAGCTGTGATTTTGTGTTTCCTGGTGGAGAGAAGTGACAGCATTCCACCGTGCCCTGTAAACACCGATTAAGTGCATAGGTTTTGCTGTGCTCGATGGGCTAGGCTATCCTGCCAGAGCTCAAAGAAGTAGCTAATTTCCAACATGGGAATAAATGCATGCATTTATACTGATAACCCAGATAAAAAGAAGCCTGTGCTTCAGGCTGTGACAGCTGCAGCTCTCATCTGAAAAACTTACAGTGCTGGGAATTTGTCTAATTCATATAGCAAAGTAAGTAAAGATTAGTTACTTTTAGCATATTTATTTCAGTTGAGAGTTTGGGGAGTGTTCTGCTCTCAGTGCTGGAATGCAGATTATCCTGCTTTAGTTTTGTATGTGACAGCCAGATCCTGTTCCCAGAGCTGTCACAGGGAACTTTAACAATCAGACAGCAACAGCAGAAAGGGTTTGCTGATTTTTTTTTTCTCAGTACAGGAATGGGAGCATTGAATATGAGACATGGTCATGGTCACAGCTCTTGGCAGTGTTGCTGCCTGCCCCTGGCTTCTGAGTCCTCTGTGCAGCATTGCCATCTCAGCGGGCTGCAGTGCCACTTGGTGAGAAGTTTTGTGTCAGGAGCTGTTGGGCCCCACAGGTTCTTTGCCTGTCTCTTGCAAGACAGTTACTAATGGGGTTTTGTGAGTACTGCAGCACAAGTCAGTGACAAGGGTGAAATAAGGATAAAGCTCACCAGGAAAGCTGGTGGGCTGAGGGCTAAGACTAAGGTCTCTTCCTCCTCTGTGATTATTTCTAGTATTGCCTAGTTTTCATAATAGAAACAATTGAAAGTGTAGAAAGTAAGCTTTTTTGCCTTTCTTTTATGGCTCTTCATATCTTCAGTTAGTGCGGTGGTGAGCACCTGAAGAAAACAATAATGGAGCATCTGTTGAGGGGATCCTGCTATTAATGCCTTCCTGCATGAATCAGAGCCTCAGCTTTCTGTGCTGGGAGTTGGTGGCTGCTCTGCTCACCACCTGCTCTAGATAGGTAGATAGAAGTTCTCAACATGAACTTTGGTCTGATTGCCTGAATCAGTGCTTTTTTCAGTTCCATGTGAAGTTCCATCAGTTCCAGCTCCAGACTTACAGTGCTGCAGTGCCTGTTACTCTTGTATCTTGCAGACAGTGTTGCTGCTGGTCTTCTCTTCAGTTCTGGCAGTCCAGCAAGGTCAAACAGACTGTCCGGAGACCTGAGTTAGGTGCAGATATCAGCTGTGTGTCCTGCCTTGAACAGAAGGTTTTGACTGCAAATTGTAACTCTTATTATGAAAAAACAGATATTGGGATAGTTAGTTTTTTCTCTAGTTCTAGTGCCTAATAATTTTTGTTTTTTTCCTCTAGGGGGAAGCTGGGCCGTTACCCTCCATGGCCAGGGAAGGTGAGGTTTGTTTGTATTTATTGTTGCTTTCTTAGTTTTCAGTGGTTTTTTTTTTGTTTGTTTGGGTGTGGAATTTTTTTTGTGTTTTCCTTCTGTGTAGGGAAAGCTTTGCTTGAAAGTATTTAATTTTCTTGTTTGTTTATTTTTTTACACATCTACCCCACAAATCTGAAGTGTGAATTAGTTTAGGGCTTTATTTGTTGGATTGTCTCAGTCTGTCAGTAAGAGCTGGTTGTTCACGTGGAATGAAAAGCCAACAGAGAGACGGTTCTGGAACTGATTGTGTTTCCCAAATTTAGTTGTTAATCCCTGCCACTTTCTGCAAGACATGTTTATTTTCTTCCATAGTAAGTTGGCTAACAGTACTGTGTTAAATGATGGAAATAAGGAGTCTGGTTCCTCAAGACACTGTTTTAGAGCTGTCATTTTTGAGAATTATCTGGGGTAGTTTGATCCTACTTCTGGTTTGGTTGGGGTTTTTCAGATGAAAGATTTTTAAAAAGCAATTTTATATTCCATTTCTATTCTTTCTATTTCTCAGAAAGACCTTTATTTTATCTTTGTATGAGGGCTAAGCATGCTGTGGTGACAGTATGAGTCAGGTAAAAGAATAGTCAACATGGCTGACAACTATAAACATTTGGTGATTGGGTCAACACCAGGCTCCTCTACAGGTGTCACTTTGTAACTGAATGATAGCTTTTCTCCTTACTAACATTTTAAAGTTGATAAGCAATTTATTCTGTAAGTAATGACAAAGTTTAAATTCTTAAGGTTACCTAAGTGGAACAAATTTTTATTAATGCAAGTTATCCTCCTAATCAGATTTAAAAAAAAATCTATAATGGCTGAACACTGGGTGGTAAAATCACAAAATTTGTCACTATGTGCTTTATGATTTCTAATCGCCTTTAGATTGTTAACCCACCTAAAGATCTGAAGAAACCTCGAGGAAAAAAGTGCTTCTTCGTGAAGTTTTTTGGAACAGAAGATCAGTATGTACCTCCTTGTTTTCATCTGGGGAAAATATTGTACCACATAATGTGGATCTTTTGTGGAAGAAATATGTACTAATATTACAGTGCAGTGAAGCATTGTAAAGGATTCCCTTTGAACCACACGATAAAAGAAATTCAGCTATTATTGCTTGCTATAGCTGCTCACTGAGGTGTATGAAGAGTATAAAAACTTAGCTTTAGGATTTGAGTTGCTGTGATAATAGCTCACCA